CGACAGCAACAGTGACCGTATGGAATTGAGACATTTGTAATGAAGATCGAATGTCGATGAGATTGAATTGTACTTCAAATTAAATAAATCTCATAGCATGCCAAGATGTAAATGCAACTAATGTATTTTAGTGTGCAACAACTGACATTTTTCGAAGCAGCAGTTGCACACGGATAACAGCATTTAGGTCTTTCTATCGACTTTGTATATTTTCTGAAAAAAAGATACCAGTCTGGGAATGTTTCCAGAATCGTATATGAATTAGTAATACAATCGTATATAGAATTAGTAATACAGGATCGTATGAATTAGAATTAATAATACGAATTAGTAATTAGTAATGCGTATATGAGATTAGAAATTAGTAAAAAATGGATCAAATATTGAGGTTTAATTCCTACAGCACCATAGTAAACGCGTCTTGGATGTCCTTGGAAATGTACATATTACGAGTCTGATCATCGTACGTATTGTAGTGAGAAATCAGGAATTTAACTGAAAATAGGAGAAAGTGGAACATATGCGAATATTAAGTTAGGAAAACCGGACAGTCTTAACATAACAAACAGAAAAACAAAAGGTAATTCCAAAGGAAGGAAATAAATGTAATAATAAAAAAGGGGATTTTCAGTTTCTACAGGTAGTGGACTGGTCATGTAATGGATCTCGATATATAGACTTCGGAACAAGAATGCTTTCAAGAGAGCACAATAAAAAATTTTATTTTCAAAATTTTATTTTTTCTAAAATTTTCTTTATTTATTTTTTTTTTTTATTTTCAATAAAAAATCTTATTTCACGTACGAAATATCTACTTTTCGTTGAGGGTTACGACTGGAGGGTGTAAGCAATAGAGTTACTACATATCATCTAGTGTCTCAGGGTGCTTTTCTGATTGGTGGTGTTGTTCGAAATGAATCAGCGGACTATGCTATGGATGTATGGGGACACCTGGGTGCTAGTTGTGTTGTAGGTCGTTACGTTGGTGGGGGCATTCAAGGAAGTTTATACTCACGACAAGTTTGCCTATCCCTTCATGTATTATATTTTTAGGACTATTGAGCAAGAGGTACTTCATTCAAGGGGATATACTGGTGGCAGTAGTCTAGGAAACATATTTCGGTCTATTACTCATTTTTATGTGTTTCTACACCTCATTAAGGTTTAGCAGCTCGTTAGCTCTATTCTTATTCGTTGAACAATTAAGTTGAAAAAAAATGGTTCGTCGTCGCATGGCTTCACCGAAACCGTCTCCGCCAGTACACCGTCGTACATCATCGTCTATGTCTGCACGTTCTCCCCCGCCAGTACCGATGCAGACAAATTCGCCAGTAGCACCAAGTGCGACACCGCCTACACAATTCGGTATGGCACCGCCATCGCGTGGGCCTGGATTAATGGGACAAATGGCTGCAACGGCTGGTGGTGTTGCTATCGGCTCAGCAGTTGTAAGATATTTGTACTGTGATTAGTTCCATCTCTATATTGAAAGCCAGAAAAGTTCACATATCATGTTTGCACAAATCAGCATGATAGGGAAGGTTCATCATTTTCTTTAGCGTTAACATACATAGTCATTTACCAGGTTTTTACCAGATTTTAACATTTGAAGAAAACCATAGATTGTTGAATAAAATCCCAACCAGTCGTTTAAAAGACGAAAAGACGGCTTGTTTATGGTTTTCAGGGTCATGCAGTTGGTAACATGTTAACGGGGGGTGGTGGTCATGGAAACAGCGATGAAACTGCTGTATCTGGAAAGCAGCAGATGGAACAACAACAGCAGTATAGAAATCCATGTGAATTTGAGTGGAAGCAATTTATGGAATGGTTAACTTTTGAATTATATTATATTCACGAAAGTTTCTTATATTTAAGAGATTTCAGCAAACTGTCAGACGGAGTGTACTCTTTTTCAAAAATTACATCTTATTTGGACTTGTTTAAGATTCTGTAAAGAACATTATGTCCAGCATTTGGCTGAGATTCTTCTCTTAATGTAAATGGGTGTTATCTGTTTCTCATATACGGAATATACGGAAGATCATTTTTGCCCCCCCCCCCCCCCCCACGCGATAGGAAAGCATTCAATAAGGAAACCATTACATAATGATGGAAATGTGAAAGTACTTCTAAAGATCCATTTTGTTTTGCACTGTAATTTCTTCCAAATTGTTAGGATCGAGTTGTCTTGGGAAGATTTTCTGCCCAGTAATGTCTTGTGTTACTCTTTCAGTACCGAGACACAGAATGACCTCAGCTTATGCCAGAGCTTTAACGAAATTTTCAAGCAGTGCCGTGCAAAAAATCTATAATCAAATCGTATTTCTAGCCGATTCAGTAGTGAGCAGAGCTGTGAAAAGAAGAAAAATTATGGTGAAATAATAGTATAAATTTTCCTTCTCCGGTTAATGTTTTTTGTCAGTACTTGATTTATAGAAATTCTGGAAATTATTATTTCTGTGCTTATTTTATAACTAGGACGCGGAATAAAATATTTTTTCCGAAAGGGAAGTAGTTTTTACACATATTGAGTCAAAAAATCAATATATTAGTCTTCGTATAACTTGTGGAAATATTTTCTGTTTAATTTCTTGATCTTAAACTTGAAGCATCATAAAGGCTAACATGATGCCTGATAGAAGGACCCAAGGCGAATTATGCCTGGTTTCGTCTCCCATGTTTTAATATGGATTTGAAATCGGAGGTATGGCTGTTTTCTAGGTTGGGGGTGTTCTACTTATATGCCAGTCTAATCGTGGAAAATAAAATAGAAATACTTCAGTTGTAACAGTTATGGTAGGTAGGAGGCGGAATTTATATGAATTTTTATTCCGTGGATTCCTGGGTTTGCTTTACGTTACTGATTTTTGGAACCATAACATTAACCGTGATATAATCTACCATGGATTGACTTTGTAGGACGATTGTTCTCAGTTTTCTGCGTGTTGGTTTTTAGTGTGTAAGCTCAAGTGTTTCAACTGTTGGCATTGGAATGGCGTGATTCAGGGAGGAGTTTATTAGGTTCGTTGTGAGTTCTCTGTGGATTTCTTTTTAAAATATGCATTTTGTAAATGCAGTTTGAGTAATTGGCAGGATAAGAATTTGTCCAAGATTCCAAACAGCTAGAAATTGTCAAGTATTCTAATGGAAGATAAGATCAAATTTAAATTGAATGGCAGCAATGGAGAAGAAAGGTTGCGATGAAGTTAAAGTAGATGGGATGATATCAAATGGGGAGTTTCTGCTCATCTTGCAAAAGTTGTCCATATTAACAAATTTCTCCTTCTTCCTTCGCCAGTTGTGGGAACAGATGGCTTATAAATGGAAGTTGACTTACAAAATCTTCACGGAAGATTTTAGCATCAGAGTTATTGTTATTACTACGTTTTTAATTTAGAAGTCACGTTTAGCTACTCGTAGAAAGCATCCGGTAATTTTGTTTCATAAAAATCTTTTTTGAAACAGATAAGTTGTGCAGCTGTAGCGGTAGCTTTGTAAACTGCAAATGAAGATTTGATCTGGAAAACAGGAAAGGCTGTTATGGTGAAAAGATATTCCTTCATATATTTTGGCCCACAGTATTTCCATCCTGTAAACAGAACCGGTTATTAACTATGAATGAGGTTCCATCCCTATTTTCATGTGGCACATAAGGATTGTCAGTGCATATTATTTTCGCAACGCATCTAAAAGGCTATCTTGCAGTCCTCTGAAATTTTTCCAATAAATGCAGATCTTTAGACAGCTCTTTTATAATATTTTGTCCTTTGAAAAATTTAAGGTTCCTTCTAAAACTTTAAATTCCTTTTCCTAAAATTTAAAATTCCTATAGTGAAGTATTTTCCAAAAAAGAAAGAAAATGAGGCTGTACCAGTAGTCGATAGAAGTGAAAGTCTGATGTCTCGATGCTGCCTCGAGTCTGATGAATTACATTATGACTTTGTCAGCCTTATTTCAGAAAACTTCACATTCTTCCTTCGTAAACGATTTTTCTGGTTGAGCTGAGCTTGTTATACGGCATTTTCTCTATCCCACATGCGTGTATATAATTTATACGTATGAATTATGCCGGCTTTATCCAAAGTATGACGTTTACATCGAAAATTTCTCAAACCTTTTCTTCTGTTTAGTTTTGCATTCACTACGTTTCGCGACGCGTTTTGTTGTGCTTTTTTAGTTTAAAATTGATATTAATTTCACATGTTTTAGTTTATATTCACGATGACACGGGCACTACATTATGTATTTAAAATTGCTAACCGGAGAAGGAGTCGTGATTTTTTTGTTAATATTCTAAAAATGAAGGTAATGTACCTGTTCTTGGTTGTATTTAATGATAGCTTAAACAAATTTGTTTAAAAACAATGTTTTCTCCTTCCTCCAATACTTCTCCCATCAGTTTAATATTTCTGCCACAGTGTTGACACATATGATCTCTACTTTTTCTTTTTCGCAAAGTATTTCATTCTAACCTGAGTTCATCCTGATAGTTTTAAAAGGACCAATTCAATTCAGAATGAATCCTCGAAAGTTTTTCATTATTATAAGAATAATAAGGGTATTTAAGGTTTTGCGACATGAAGAATTTGAGGAAGGTTGTAAAGCTACATGTAATGGGTTCGTCCTTGTTTTTTTCACTCTTTCATTTCCTGATTTGTTTTTAAATTACTGTATATTCTGTAAAATTATGGCGTCATTGCTTTTTTGCAGACCATATAACGGTAGGTGGAGTAAAACGATGGTCGGTTATGGAAGTGAAGATGACCATTTTGTACTGGAATTAACGTATAACTATCCAATCAGTTCATATAAATTGGGTAATGATTTCGGAGTAAGTTATTATCCTTCCTGAGTAAATTTTCCAATTTTTGTTTGCCTTTGTCCTGCAAATTATTTACTTATTTTATTATTTACTTATTTTAATTAATCCGTAATGTATAACCTGGCTTAGTTGATGTATTTAGATTATCGAGTTAAAGTCGTGAAATCCTGTTGTAAGTTGAAGCAGATTAACTTGTGTGGTATGAATTTGATTGCTCGGTTTATCACTTTTTTGTTTCTGGAATTATTTCAGGGGATTTGCATTCAATCAACGGATGTGTTTGAAAACTGCAAGAGTTACCAGATGGCTGTCATTATGGCGAGTGGGGAAGTGGAAATTGAGGATCCTGATGGGCATAAATTTTACGTATCACCGCATGATCCTCAACCGGCTGATGCAGACCTGATTTATAAAGTGAAATTAAATACACCTGACTTGAAGGAAACTGTAGGTTAGTTACCTTTTTTCAGTGCATTGATATATTTCTCCCAGATTCTGTACATTCATTGGATGACTAATCTAACTGGTTTAGTTCGTCGGTATTTAATGGCTGGTTTTCGAGTATATATATCTATGTACTTACTTTTCGAGTATCTGTTGTATTAGTTTTCAGTAAATACATAGATATTGTTTTAATTGAATGCATTCCTATATTATTAATAAAGATACAACATTTTATGATTGAACTGTTAATTTTTTCGGAAATACTTTTCACTTCTTTTCCTTTATTTACATTTTCTTGTCCTGTTTAGGTTCCGTAAATTTTGTAGATTACTGGACAAAACTGCTGAATTTTACCATGATCAAATACAACGAAAACTGTTTCATTGTATCAGCTGGTGAAAAAAAAAAAGTTTCACTTCCTTGTTCTCGCTATAGTTATCATAATTGTCATTTCTTTATTTCAAAACGAAATTTTATCATTACACTTTAGCAAAATACTGATGAATGTAATCCTAATTTATTAAAGAACCGGAAAAATCTGTACTCTTTTTACATAATAAGCTTCACCTTCTCTTAGCCTCTATTTTCAGTTGGAATTGGAATGGAACTTCATTAACGCCAGAATTGATCGCCATACCGGCTTTGGCAGGATAGCTTTTGCTGTTCCAGCGAAAAAGGTAAGCCATCTTCTAAAAGTTTGAATCTTTTTTTTCCTATGAGACAGTATATGTTTTCATCAGCAATCGAAAGATGCAGTTAGATTTCGGGTTTGCCTATCTAAATATCTAAATCAACTAATTTTTTCATTTTCAGTTAGAAGCAATACAAAAGATGATGGATGAAGCGAAGCAAAAAATTTTGACTCCTTTAGTAGAGTTAGATACTCCCGGCAAGACAGCTGTTCAAGTTGTCATTCTTGCTGACCCAGTAAGTGATAGCTTCTCGTACTGAGTTACTTCAATTTCATATTAAAAATTAAATTTTGAACCCGTTTCGTCACCATATATTCCTGTAAACATTTTGTTGTTACAGTTTTTTTCTGCAAAAGAGTTTCTGTTTTGTAGAACAACCATGAGATATGTTTTGTTGGTGATGAAGCCTTCCGAGAATTATCACGGACTGATCTGGACGCAGATATGAAACTGCTGAAGGCGATCGACGATGACAAAAGTGAAAAATACAAAATATCCGTTTAGTAAGCATTTTTCCCTTCTTCCTTAAGCTGCTTGTCATTGATTTATGCTGTACTGAAATTAAACTTATTGACCTAACTGAAATGTTGAAGCAAAAGTACAATTATTAGAGGATTCATCGTTTTGCAACAATTTTCTCTTGGATAGTTAAAACTACTAAACTGCTCAGGATATGAGCATATCTACTTCAAACAAATTGAGACGGCTCAAATTTAAAAAGAAAAAATGAAATAATTTGATTGGCGAATATTTAGATATGGAGAATGCAAGACGACATTATCTGGATAAATATATTGAGATAATCGAAATATTTTTATAACATATAACAAAAATACTTTATTTTTGTATTGAATCCATAATAGAAATTCGTAGTATAAAAGTTGTTTTACCTGAATATTTGTCAGGTAAGTGATTCATTAGAAACAAAACAAAACCTTAACTGATAAATCCTTTATCCAGCTTCCATTATAGTTTGTAAAGAATATTTGGTCTGATAACCAAGCTTATATGTGGTAATGAATATATGATAACCAAGCTTATGTGCAACTGTTAAAATGTTGTAAACAACCCTCACTATATAAGGAGTCAGGATCTGAACTCACTCTACCGTTAATGTGCTATTATTGATATTGGCTCTGTATCAAATCTTTCCCATTTGTGACAAAAAACTTTATCATAATCTTTACAATAGAATTCACTATTCATTTAAATCAACTTTAAGTAAAATAATAAAGGAACTGTTCGTAAAAATCATGTTGCTTTATGTCGCTTTACGTCGCCGAGTTTCTCAATTTCAAACTTGGATAATTAAACCTTTATTCCTGAAAACTTGGTAATACAGAAACGAATTCAACAATTATAATATCAATATGAACAAAAGGGGGATCAAAGACCAAATGACGCCCGTTACCGTCTTCCCAACCAACCTGTTGGAACACGTCTTTCGAAAATGATTTGGCGCTCAGGACCTCCTTTTTATTGCTACAATTCCGCATTATAACTTTCGGAGTTTTTCCAACATTCCCCATTGAAGAAGAATATTGCCCTTAGGAGTTATAATATTGTGTATATTTTTTTGATTTTCGGTTTGAATTCAAAATTTCGGTGTTTGAATTTCGTTGAGTAGCATTCCTAGTTCTTGAGACTATAGGTTCTTCTTGCTGATCTGGGTTTCCCATTGGTTTCTTAAAAGCTGTTGGTTGAATTCTCGAACTTCCTTCAACAGTTATTTCCAAGGGGTACAGTACATTTACTGGTCTACTGAGAAGTTTCCCGTTGGGGATCCCTACCAATGCGCTTCTTGTCACTCCATCTCCACCTTTTCTAAGTTCTTTTATCCTTGCCAACTTTCACAGGTCTCGAGGCGTTTTTGGTTCATCTACTAATACAATTTCTTCTCTTGGCTTACGATTCTCTGTACCTTTAGGATTTACGTGTTCCTTTTGAGTTCTTTCCCTGAGGCTCATTAAGTAGTCCTTTTTCCATATTTCCCAAAATATATCGAGTACTTTAAGCGTTCCCAACCAGTATTTGATTATTCGTTCCCTTGTATCAAAGTTTCCTGGTTTGAATTCGTCCTGTTCGTCATCAACTGTTGGGATAATTAAAGAGGCACTAGAATGTATAAAATCGATTGGGCGTATTATCTTACAGTCATCGGAGCTAGCATAAGTCAACGACCGGGTATTCAGTACACCTTCGATCTCCACGATCAACGTCAAAGTTCTCTTTCCTACAACAGTTTCCTCCCAATAGTTCTCATAGCCTTCTTGGTCAGTCCTATCAGTTGCTTATAGAATCCGTCACTCCAAGAAGCTCTCGGTGTTATATTTTCCCAACCATTCCCTTTTCTGCCAGGAATTTACCTATCCTGATGTGTTCCTGCTCTTTCATGGCTTTGAAAACTACTTGGAATTGGCTTGCATTGTCGCTCAAAACACGTTCCGGATAGCCACGTCGAGAAATGAATCTCCTTAGCATGTGTAGAAAACTTTCAGCCGACAAATTTTCTACAACCTCAAGATGAACTACTCTTGTTGTGAAATATGTGAATAGGGCTACCCATCTTTTGGTTACTCCAACTTCGGTTTTGACGGAGATTGGGCCAAAATAATCCAATCTTTTTCAAAAGCCCTTGAACGTAAAACTCGTGATTCAGGAAGACCCGGCTGGTAGTTTAAATGGCTTACTGTCCAACGTTTGCAGCCTGTGCAGCCTGTTATAACACGTCTCACCTCCATTCGTCCTTTCGATATCCAAAATTTGCGCCTCATTTCC